GGATAAATCTTGTGCCAGCAGGAATTGAATTTGAATTGCTCAGATTGAATCTGAATGTGCATAATTTGATACTGAATGCATTGGTTTGAAACTAAATTGCATTAAATTGAAACCGAATTTAAAGTTTTGAATCTGAATTAATTTGCTTTGAAACTGTATTTTGGTTTATAAAAAATGCAGTTTGAATACTTTCATAATTTAATTTCAGTTCCAAAATTCAGATTTTTGTGTCACATCCTGGTCCTTGAGAAAACCAGCCAGAGTAATCAAACACAGATCCACAGATTTATGTTTCACTTTGGTGAAGTTTCCCTTCTGTATGTAACAGAGCTGATGCAATCCACCATAAAAGTGACAAAAACAGTCAAAGTTATTTTATTGCAGTGATTAATTTTACCTATATGTAGAAAATGTTACATTTACATCAGATCATGGATCACATATTGATCAGATGCTGCTGCTGACTTATCCATGATGTGATGTAAATGTAACATTGTCTACATAAAGGTAAAATTAATTACGGCAATAAAATAACTTTGACTGTTTTTGTCACTTTTATGGTGGATTACATCAACTCTGTTACATTACAGAAGGGAAACTTCACCAAAGTGAAACATAAATCTGTGGATCTGTGTTTGATTACTCAGGCTGGTTTTCTCAAGGACCAGGATGTGTGACACTAAAATCTGAATTTTGGAACTGAAATTGAAAGTACAGGTAGTCAAACTGAATTTTTAATTAACCAAAATACAGTTTCAAAGCAAATTAATTCAGATACAAAACTTTAAATTCAGTTTCAAACCATTAAATTCAGTTTCAATTTAGTAAAACTCATTTTCAAACCAATGCATTCAATATCAAATTATGCACATACAGATTCAATCTGAGCAACTCAAATTCAATTCCTGCTGGCACAAGATTTATCCCATACATTTGGTCCACTTCAAACAGACCAGAGTTTGTTTCCCGCATTAGTTCGGACCTTTTATGCAGGTGTGAATACACCTCAAGAGTTTTCCTTTTCTTTTTCCACAGTGAATTTCGAAGCAGGTGATGAACGGACATGTACCTGTGTTTTGATATGTTGCTCTGGTGCGGTGACCAGGCTGGCACAGCTGAGCCACAGCATGACCATGATGGACAGGAAGAGACAAGCAGCTAAAATCCACCGTGGAAGACCAGAACGTCTGGGAGGAAGAGACAAACAGGAGAAGACTGGGGTCAGAGTTGTGAGGGACTGAAACCAACTTGAACCATCTTTTCAAAATGAAACAAATTCTAAATGTAAAACAAATAATTTATTGACGTTAATAGAAACATAGTTTAAATTAAAATCAGTCGTGTTTTAAAACATTKACTGCGAACACTGCAGCATCTGTTTTGCATGTATTTGAACTCAGATTAATGAACAGTGTTGTTTTTAAATCTGATGACTTTTTAGTAAGTCAGCTAATTCTGTCAATGCATATTCAGTCCAGACCATTGTTTTTCTGTTTCTGGTTTATGTCGCTTTTCTGTCATTATGTCATTCTTCTGTTCATGTTTCAATAACTAACTTATTCTGCATGTTTTTCTGCTGAATCAACAATTCCCATATCTAAACGTTCAGCTCACCAGCAACATTCCTGCTACAACTTTTTGTATTTCTACAAATTTTAATTTTAGAAATATTAATTCTTTTAGACATTTTTTAACTAAATGAAGAAGAAAGTTCATCAAATCATTCAGAGTCTGTAC